ATTCTCTTAATAAACAAACCTTCTTTCTAAATTTTTAAATGAGAAAACTCAAAGAAAAATAAATTTTATTTTACTTTTAAAATGTAATAAATGAAATTCCACGTGTTCCCGAAATTTCTTTTAATTTTTAAAACTGCAATCGAATTCGTTGAAGTCGTTAGGAAGAAGTTAAACTGAGTAAAAACAATTGTTAAGTAGAAAACTTTATACTTTAAATTTTTCTAAAAGAATTTTCATTAATGTAGAATTAGAATATAAAACTTTTCGATGTAAAAGCATTAATCTAATTTAAATTTTTCTCAAATACTTTTTTTTTTAAATTAGTTTTATTGAAAATCCACGGTAAGCCATAGATTGGAAAGCTAGATTTCTGCAAGAAACCATGTATAAAACTTTAAATTATTATTATTCTTTTTTAAAATTTTATTATTTAAAGATAAATTCGGATATATATATCCTATGGGAAGTTCTCTCAGTGGGCATCTGTCATAGAATTTACCGTATAAAATGCAAACATTCTTCTACAGTTAGAATATTCTTCAAGATTCTGTGAAACGTATTTGTTACTATTGCAGCATTTAAATACAGTGGCGGCTAGTATTTTAGATACATTTTTTTAAAAATGCATACAAAATAACCTCCAAACAATGGCTATTTCCATGTTTCCGTCATTGGCCGTTGTTCAGAGGTTGGACTGTATTACGAACCAGCGCTTTTTTATGTATTTGAAGTGGATGCTCTTGCTTTTACGGAATAAAACTAAGTTCATAAACATGATGAGGAGGGAGATTCATATAATTAAATCATCAATACAATCGTATCTTTGAAGGATTGAGAGACAGAATATTTTTATTCTACATTGATTATACCTTTAATTTTTTTTTCTTCTTTTAAAATAAGCCACAAAGTTTTTAATAGGAAGGTAGCAAGATAAAATGCATTATCGATCAAAGAAAATTTACAAAAGTCGACTTTTGAGTGATGATTTATTTACTATGTAAATGAAGAATTTCTCGACAAGAGTACAATATTAATTTAGTTAGAAAATTTAATTAGAATTTTTCATAATAATCGTTAAAATGTCATCACACCTGGTGCAATCTAATAATTTCTCAGGTGGCAACTGCAACTTAGAAAAATAAATCATTTACGTATTTCAAAAGATCCAATAAAAGTGCAAGATCACGAAAGATTGATCCAATGGTATACGCTTTCTCAATCTCTTGGTATCATCGAGTAAAGAGGGAAAAGACATTTTATCGCATTTAGAGGAAGCAAGACGACAACCATAGTCGAAAGGATTCTATTAATCATTCACGCATTGTTAACCTCAGAGGAAATAGTTCCTCAGCTCTGTTGAAACTTTCCTTTGTCTAGCTTTTGGTTAAATGTAGAGGAAGTATTGCAAATCCCAATATTGGTGGTGCTCGGGGAACTGTTTGGCTTTCACAAATCGTTAGATCCAATCAACTGCATTTCTTTTTCTTCCGGTTTCATCGTCACTTCCGGTGATAATTGGTCGTAAACCACACCAACAGGTCTTAACAAAAGACCATTAAAAAATAAAAATAATAATAATATAAAAAAAAGTCTGTAGAGGAAATAACTCGAGATTCTTTTCTTCGTTTTTATTGTCAATCGGATTGGATAAAATAGGATTTTCTTGTAACAAAATAAAAAAAGAAATACACAATAGCACTGAAATTAAATATCTAGATATCCTTTCTTAAATTCTAAATTAAAAAAGCTTAAATTTTTTGCTAATTCAAATGGTGGCCATTTTCCTTCCTTGAACGTTTCTGCAAAACTTAATTTGCTTTTTATATGAATCTTCCTCCTCTTTGCTAAATGTGTGTATAGAATTTGAAACAGCTTACAATGTTTTCTTAATATTATTAAAATATAACTTAAGTGATAAAAAAAAATTAAACGTGGGAAGCATAAACAGGTTTAGAAGCATGTAAATATGCCCCTCTACGATCGTTTTTATATTATGTTTTATAGATAAATCATATAAACAAGCAATTACTTCTTTGAAAATATCACATAAATAAATAAGGGATTGTACTTAATTACTTACATCCAGAATCAGCATCGATCTGTATATAAGCCTATACTGAAGGGATCAAGCCAATAACAATAAGTAAAAAATTTCTGATTATCGATATAAAAATAAGGTGTAGCTATTGAGTACGGTACTAATTTCTACTAATTTTTGTAATGTGTTTTAAAATAAAGATACGTTAAGAGGGGGTGCAAAATTATTGGGGATTTGCCTCAGATTTGCTAAAGAGGAGTATCTCAATCCAGTAGCATTTAATGCTACAGGTCAGAGGGAGTGCTCCACTAAATTTAAATGTAATGTAAATGGGGATTTGCCTCTTTCTATCTCTTATGAATCGACGCTCGTGACTTTTCTGACATAATGGATGACTACGTCTTATAAGCCCTCGTTTCTCAACCGGTGGTCCACGGACTCCTAGGGGTCCGTGGAACTCTGAGAGGATCTGCGGTCCATCATGATGTGGCAGTTTTAGGGGTTCGTGACACGAGAAACGTTGATAACCACTGTTATAAGCTATAAAGTACAGTAATATCACGTCTCGAACTTTTAGACCAACATCAAAGGTATAATTAGGTACTAATTAATATCAGGATTGTCGACAGCTTGGTATAGGACCCCTTTTGTATAATAGTTAAGAAACTGTTTACTTATAGTGAAAATTTCCAAGAGATATTTGAGATTTCATAAAAAATAATTCAAATTTCGTGATCCCATAACTAGGTTTATTGTAGTTACGTGTTCTAAATGCATTATTAATGCCACTTTTAAGGCAAATGAGAAAAAAAGCATTAAAAATTTGCAAAAGACCAAGTGAAGGAAAAATTATAAGAATTTCTTGTTTTAAAACGATAACTTTGAGTATAGTTTTTAAATGTTAATTTGTGTAAATATATACATAAACGTATTTGCTTTCGTTCTTTCAATATTAAAATAAGGAAGTAACCTGGAAAAAATCCGGAGAACTCAATTAAAATTCCAATAAAATGATTATTGTTTCTTGTAAGCATTAATTTTCTATTTCCTCCATTTATCTTAAAAGGGGTAACCTATATAATGAACTTGATGGCCGGATTTCTTTCTACATGCAACGGATTTCCTTTATAGATGGCGAAATCCGAGCGGAAACTTTTCTTATCGTGCACGTTTGTCCATTTTATCTCATCTTGGTTATCGTGTAGTAAGAAGATAATGTTTAATATCCACCATTAACGCAATCAAAACTACATCATTTGTATATTTTAAGCCGATGAAAATGGAATATCATTAGAAAAATCGTGATTATCGTCGCCATTATCATGTTTTACAGTGATGATCTCCATTTTTTTATTTTAAAAAGCTTCATCATCATTGGTGTGAACAAGATCATACAGCAAGCATCATTATCGTCGTTATAAAGAAGATCAACAATAGCAATATCGTCAATGATAAAAGTAATATCTAAGGAAGAAGTAATCGCATCAATATTACCATTAATGATCTTGCTTCAATATCATTAACAGACATGAAGTCGACATCATCATTGATAGAAGACCATCAATGATAAAAGCATGAACATGGCAACATCATCATAGAAGGAAGATTATCAGCGATAAAAGCAAGAGCATAACAATGACAACATCAACGCAATCGCTATCATCATCATCAGCAGCAAAAGCAGCAACATTATCAAAGAAAGAAGCTAAATCATCAATGATAAAAGCAAAATCATCGTTAAGATGGATTATCATTAAACTCATGATTGTCTTTTCTTCATTTTAACAAAAATTCTAAATAATTTCCTACTTAAACGATGTGTAAACCATATATACTTACAAGTACGTCTGCAGGTTTCATCCTGGTCGATCTCTCTCCTACGAAAATATCGTCTATGTCGATAAGAAGATACCTCTGCAATGGCAAACTGAGTTTACCATGAGAAAGATAAGAAATTGCATCCAGGAAGAGTAATTTGTGTAACCAAAACTTAAAACTGTTTCCAAAAATCGCTCTTTGTATACCGTCGTAGATGCCGATGTCCTGCAAAAAACAATGGGAAAATTATTTCATCATTCTAAATGCTATCTCGCGTTTATTAAGTTGTAGTTAACTCAGACTATTCATAAAAACTCAATAGGATTCAGCGCCATTTTCACGCCTAGTGTGATAGTACTCACTAAAGGCGAGATCTCTGAAACGCAACGCGAGGCGCGAGAGAAATAAATCGCTCATGAAAATATTCTGTGTAAAATACAATTGAATATAGATTTAATCGTGTTATGCAATATCAATGTTGATGTAATCAAGTCGTGTTGAATGATATATTGAAAAAATAGCATTAAAAAAAGTGTTGATCGCAGCGAGGTTGTCGCTACGCGATAATCGCGAGTGTCGTACCGCGCGCAAAACTATTTCTTGACCGCAACATTAAAAATAAAAGTACACAAAGTTTTTAAGTTTTCTTACTTCTGAAAGAAGTTAGGAAATTGATATTTTAAGATAAGAAGTAAAGCATCACATCCATTATTAACAAAAGACAGTACATACATAATTGAAACATGTCGCAAAACTAAGCAGATTACATCCGAGATAACTATCAAGTTTCTTAAAATATAAACTCGTAATATATAAAATATAAATTGCAAAGTACTGAAGCTAATATAATAATCATCGGCTGTATAAAAATAAACGGTTTTCGTTTATTTTGAGCCCTAGTATTATATTTTCCGCCATATTTACCAATTTCGCGAGCCACGCGAGCCGTCGTATCGCATGGCTCGCGGAAGTGCAAGAAGAGTATTTAGAGATGTCTCTAGTGCATATTTTACAAGTGCTTTTCATTGTTAATTACTTAAAAGTTAACCACGATATAATTTTTTCCACCATTTTACACAGATAAATCAAAAGATTACATTTGTAAGGAAATAAAACAGAATTAAAGAACCTCCCTCCTCCTTTTATAAATGTGAAAAAAATAAATTTAAAATAAGCCAAAAATAACGGAAAATGTATAAAATAAGAAAAAAGTAAAGAAATTCTACCAAAAAGATTGATCTGTTTTCCACTTTTAAGTCAGAAACGTACGTAAAAAACGAGGGGAGGAAAGGAAAAATGACTTCTATATGCTTATTGTTAAAGGGAGGGCAATCGCATTTTTAAGAAGACATTAGCATGCGTAGGGATGATCAGTGCAACAAAGTGCAGTAGTCATACGTTGTATGAATGTTTAGGAGAAGTGTAGAAGGATACAGAGAAGAGTGAAATAAATACTGTTTTTTTATGTGCCGTATACATTAAAAAAACTGCGAATTTAAAGTTTAGAAAAAATAAAATAAGAAAGAGAAATCGGTTTGGAAATTCATCAAGGTTTGAACGACCAATCCGTAAGGAAAAAAAAGGAAATGTAAGTTTTATTAAAAGCTTTCCTCTCAACTCTTGATTGACGTTTTTCCCTTTACTTTGGAGTGATACGGAGCGAATTAATGTAAAAGTTTGCAATGACATTTTAATAAAACACCCAAAACTTTGCAATAAAAGAAGGAGAATCTAAAAATGTTCGCGTTACAAAGATTTTTATCGAAAATTTTTTATTGTTATTCCCTTTTTTTCTCTCCTTCTTCCTCCTCCTCCTCCCTTAAAAAAAACTCATAAATATGATTCTTTCTTATATGACATAAATTAGAATAGAATTGCATTAAAATAAATCATCGTGGATCAATTTTCTGATTAAAAATTAATTAATTTCTTTCTTAATTAACATTAATTATGAATTAAATTTTAAAATGACAATTAATACGTTCGTGTTAATTTATTAACATAAATTACATTATAAATTAATTTTTTTATTATAGAAAAATATATATGTTGAATATATTTTCAAAAAATTGATTTTATTTTATAAATTAAAGAGGTTATTATTCAAAATATATTTAAATAAATTAATTTTAATCGGATTATCATCATTATCTCGGAAGATAAATTCCATTTTTATGCAATTTGTCGTAGATGAGAAGAGATGCTGAGGAGAAGGGATGCTGGTAATTATATTTTCTATAATTGTAACTTTAAAAAACTAATTCATTTTATATATTTAAATCATATTTCTATAAATACATCAAGAAAGTAAAATAATAATCTTGTTTTTTGCAGTTTATTTACGTAAAAAATCTTTAAAAATATATCTTAAAAGAAGCTTAACATGAGGAATTATATATATATATATATATATATGTGTGTATGTGTGTATTTGTGTGTGTTTCTTCCAGCGAAAAAAAGCATTAACATATTTTAAAATATTCTCACGTATATTTCACCTTCTTTTGCTTACAGTTGTAATGTGGAGTAGCATGATAACGTTACTATAGTTACACATCCGGAGCAACCATCACTTTGGTATTTGGGTGCTGAAAGATGTAATCGGATTTCGGAAAACACGACAAAAGACCTAAAAGAAATGAAAAGTCAGTGGAAAAATACCAACTACAAGCGACTACTGACAACATGTGTTAGGGTGTGAAACATGTGTCACAAACTATTGTCATTGGAAGGGGGACAAAAACGGAAACTTCCACCTTGTCAATTGTGGCTGAAGGTATCCTTTCTTGACAACAGAATCCAAAATGAAAGTACTAGTAACAGCAACAGAAGAAGAAGAAGAAGGAGAAAGTGAGCATTGGTCCAAGTTGAAAACTGGAAAACTTACATCAATAAAGAAAAACAGAAACTCTATATTGGAAAAAGTAACGTTTTCTAATATTGCAGAGAAGTTTTTTTATTATTTAATTTTATACAATCGTAAAAAAAATATAATATATATATATATATATATATTAAATCTATAAAAGTTTGTTCATATTGCTTATAAACTGATAAAAAACAGCAGTATAAAAAATCTGTACATTTTATTTTAATTTTTTTTAATATTCTAATCTTGTTGCTCTTCTGTATAATTGTAAAATATTAATAGAAGACAAAACTAAAAGTCTTTATAATTTAATTTAATTATAATATAATCCCTGCTAGAAAAATAGACTTGTAATTAATAGTTATATAAATCGCCGACAGATGGCACAAAGAGCATTTTTAAGAAAATTTTAATTTATGCTAATTTATGCAAATTTATGCCTCTCATGTAATTTGCATAAATTAGCAATATTTTATAGAAACGCATTAATTAAGGCGTAAATACGTTTTAAAACACAAAAATTACTTTTAAAAAATTTTAAAATTATATATTAATTTATTCGCATAAATTTGAATAAATTATGTTAATTATGAATATTTTATTTTTAATAAATTTTGGATTTTTTTAAAGAAAGTGTATAAAGATTATTAATACTAAAAAGCTAATTTAAAGGAGAAAATGGCCTTTGATGATAAAGAGAATTTAATTAAAAATTTAGAAGAATAAATGTAAATTTTTTGAAAATTTAAAAAAAAAATGAGATGATATCAATAATTTTTATGGAGAGTTTATTGTTAAACTTTGGTTAATGATAGCGGAGAAGAAAAGAAGAAAGATGATGTATGACGATCATCCTCAACAAATTTTATTAGAANCGTTTAAACATAAGTTTTATTGAAAAATAGAAATGTTGTCGGTTTAATATAAAGTTCAATTATTATTTTAACAAGTAAAAGCATCTGGAAGAGACAGCTCATAGAATGAAGTGTTTCATCCCTTTTCAGTTTGCGAGATTGATCTCAAAATTCTTTTCATGATTAATCATCTACTATTATGCAAGATAATTATTTTCATAAACTTCATCAATTTTTATTCCAGTTTTTAAATTAATTTCTGTAAAAGTATAATTATTACTTTGTATACAAATTATTTATATATATATATATATACTGAAATAAAACATATACAAACACACACGCACCAGCATGCAATACATACGTACTTCACATTACACACAAACACATATACGTTAGAAAATTACTTATATATTATTCATAATTAGAAGAATAAATGAAAATTCCGTCAGTTTGTCTGTACGTTTTAATAATATTCTTATTCAAAAAATAAACATTTAAAACTAAAAAAAAAAAATGTGATAAGTTTCTTCATAATTCCCTTAATTGTTATCTGTTTTCGAGTTATTTCAATAAGTTTATCTCTTGTAGGAAATACAATATTTGTAATCTTATCAGAATTTATTTTTCTACAAGATAAAAGGAGAAACATGACAAAGTTTTCGTTCTAACTTTTTTTATTATATGAACGTCGTAGATTGGTATTCAATACTGTTGCCTTCAGGCACATTCTGCACACAGTTTGTTACCTTACAGATCAGATTATAGCTTATGAATAGTATATATTTGCTGAAAGTGAGCTTTTAAAAACGTAAAAAAAAAGTATATAAACTTCACTTCCTTAACTTTGAATATTTTTTATTATGTATATTTTTGCATAAACGTATACTATGAAACATTGTTGTAATATAAAATATATATGTGCCTGTGTATCATTTTTATTTGCTGACTTTTAAAGAAACGCAATGAAATTTTTCGTGTATTTTTTCCCATATATTGAATACATTTTTAGTATAGAATATACTGAAAATTTTTAATAAATTTTTATTTATTAGATTTATAGAATAGGCATTTTAAGGATTTAAATCAAATAGGGAACAGATTAAATGGTGTGTGAATATTTGCGAGTGTGAGTAAGCATGTGAGTTTGAGTGTATGAGTGTGTGAATGAATGTACCCAGTATATACTATATGTATATTCTGAAAAAATGAAATATGCCAATATTANTTACTGTTGAATTAATTTTAATTTTAAAAATTAAATTCGTAATTTTTATCAAATTTTAAGTAAAGGAAAATAATAACTAACCTGTATGACAATGGGCATGGGAGCTCCAATCCCATCAACAGACAAGGCAACATGAAAGGATTGAGTTCTCGCCATGGCTACAGTGACGTAAGTGGAATGGTTAGATTGAAACACAGTCCAGTCTTCTCCTGGGAGATCCCCATAGGCTATTTCTCCTGCTCTCGTCAGTCTTAACAGCTGTGACTTGGGATTTAGTTGACAATCTCGTAGGGCTAAGTTTGTGTGAACGTATAGCGGAAATCCTGCACGATAACATAATCCCTGACGTCAGACTCTGACATACACATCAGTGACAAATCACATGAGTATAGATAATTGCAAAATAATGCTGAAGATCATTTCTATAAACTTTGTGTATCATCCAACTCAATAATGATCGCTCGTAAAGATTTATACCTAAATTATCTGTTTATCAATTATATCTAGACTTATTTTAATAGTTAAATATTTAAATATTAATGGTAAATTAACATTTTACTAAATATATTACTTTAAACATTATTAACGGTGAGTTAAAGAACGTATTTTCTAGTTAAATACCACTTCTCCTCAATGCTTGGTTATATTACAGTAAAGCAACCTTTACAGGAGCAATGCTGTTATGCTGTTTGTATAATATAACGTAGTAAAGTTTTCAGCGCTTATTTTCGAATTAAATATGTAAATAATTAAAATTATTACTTTAATGAAAGTATGTATTAAAATCAAATATAAAAATTCTTATTTATAATTATTATTTTAAATATTTTTTAGCATCTAAATTCAGTTTTATGAACAAATAAAAGAATGCTCATTTAACTGAAATTACAGTAAGAAAAATAATAATAAAAACAAATAATAAATATTATTTAAAATTCATCGTACAAATAATTCTCATTTATACTTATTAAAATTAAAAATAAATTCCGATTATCTTAAGTAGAACGTTCATAAATAATTCATTAAAATTTAAGATCGTTTCCTAATTTTTTCCCCTTCTTCTAAATCTTATCCTTTGATAATTTACCGTAATTTATAGCTTTACTTAATTATTAAAAACTACGAAATCATTAATTATCTTAAATTATATTTACTTAGATAACAAGTAATTGCCATTTATATCGGTTTTCTCTTATGTAAATTTTAGGCGAGAATAATCGAATTTTTTAACGTATAAAATAGGATAAAAATGCGATATATATATATATTTGTATGATGAGGTATAAAGTATAAATCATAATTTAATCCCTTTTTCGTAGATAATGTAAGCATTCAACTAATTTAGAATATAACAGAATCCTTTCTAGATACCAGGAAACTTATATTGAATCCATATATCCAGTGAGAAAAGAAGAAAAAAAAAGGCAGAATTCATGCATTCGATGATGAGATCAATATAACAAGATTAATGCTGAAAGGAAACCTTACCTTTCAGTTGCGATCCAACCAAACTGTCCTCGCTACTCTTCATAAATCCAACAATTCCAACGTTATATTCTCTACAATATTTATCCAAAAGTTCCCTGTTCCATTTATTCATATTTAAATATTTTTCTAGATTTTCAAAAACAATTACTGCAAATTTTCCTTTATCTAAATTGGTTAAAAGCGGTAAACTCTTTGCGGCAATTTCCATTTTAAATCTAAAATTAAAGAAGATAAAATAATAAGTGAAATTAATTAAAGATGCATTTCTATTACTGTATCTAATTAGTGAGAAGCTTCGAATTTTATCTATTAGGATATGCTATTAAATAATTAGAATAATGGAATGATCAAAGCGTGTGTGCAACTAAACATCATCAGAGGCAAGTTACAGATAATTCGACAAATTGAGTTATGCTTAAAAAGTTAAAAGTTTTGTAACAATTTTATAAAATTGCTGTGTAGAAAATTTCTTTATTACTGTTGAATTAATTTTAATTTTAAAAATTAAGAATAAAATTTAACTTAATTATATCTAAAATATAAAATGAAAATTATATTTCTGAAACAAAAATTAAATTAATTGTATTTAAAATAAATTAAGGTTCAGGAAAGAGAAATTAAATAAATAAAAAAATTCTAGAACATTGGTGGTCCACTGCGTAACATAACTAAATAAAGAATANAGGAGAATATTCCTAACTTTCACATCTAAGAAGGAAGTGGAAGGCAAGGAAAAACGAGATGACAGCACTGACAGGTGACAATCGAACTGTGAGATAAGCTTAGAGAAACAAAAGTTATTTAATCTATAACATAAAATATTGAAGAAAATTGTAAATATATATTTACTTTATTTTAAAATATTATATTACACAGTGAAATATCTAATAACTTATATCTCTTCTAAAGTGGATGGCATTCTTGTAATGAAAATAAAAGGGAAAGAGGGGGATAAGATGGAAAAACAAGTGTATAAGAATCACAGAAATACTCTAAAATATATTCCATTTTATAGAAATATGACTAAGGTATTTAAATAGAATTGAATGGTGGAAGAGGAGCAATTTATCAAAGAGGGAGAGAGAGTCTTGGTTCAATGTTATTCACTCTGAGACGAATCTCTTCAACATGGCAGTACATTCAGTCAACGGTATCATTTATTTCTAAAATATTAAATCTACCAGGAATATTTTAATGCCTTTTTTTTTAGTGGAAAAACTGAGGAGACAAGCAACGTTCTGGAGAATTCCCCCCTCTAAAAATCGACTATATTCGATAGAAAAAGTTAAAAGAAAAAAAAGAAAGAAAGGGAGAGAAGTGTATGTGTGTATGTGTGGAGTGACATAGAATTCCACTTTCATCTCCTTAACGGATCTTCCTTTTAAGCTGTTATGTATAGCAAAGTTTAGAGTCTATGCATCGAGAATTATTGTTGTATGTCTCCTGTTTTAGATGGAGAAGAAGTAAAGGAGGAAACAGCATTCCCGTTCTAAGAGGTCACGTCTGGAAGGTCAAGAAGACTTTTTTATAGAACGAAACTATGACTGACGACTGCTTAAAAGTTGAAATCATTTTATTTAATATATCATTTTTCAAAGTAAAAAATTCTTTTCTTTTTTGTTTTTAA